GGTTCCCCCCCCCCCCCCACACACACACAAATATTCTTAACTATAACAGCTGCATTGACCAACTTGCAATACGGACGGACACGAACAAGAGAGCAGACAACGAAAATGCAAAAGTGAAAGCAATGATTCCCTTTTTTCTTTAATAAAGGCAGATTAAGCGAATATAATCATAGTCTCAGCGGTGTTCTTGGCGGTTGCTCTACGAGACGTCGAGCAGTCTCTGACTTGATCTTTGAATCATAAATCTACACAATCTACATTTTTCCAAACCAAAAGGTTGCAAGTCTAATGAACACTGCTGAGCAACCTTTTTCCCCTGTCAAGCAGGATCTCTACTTTGTGTTGACTAACTTAAAGAACAAAATATTGAGCACATATCCATTTCCATGGGAATCACCACCACATAGCTGGGCTCTTCAACTGAACAAAACTCCAATTACTCTTTCTTGACTTTTCCCACAAACCTCACAATATTTGAATAATCATTTAAAGCAACAAACAGATTGAAATGAAAGAATGCAGTCCTTAAAAACCATATATCTGAACCATAGAAACCCAGACACAACAAGAAGTCGATTCCAACCATTCAAAGCATTGGCATCGATAGCTAAGCCGATTTTGCAATCCTATTTTCCTAGAAGAACTTCAAATTCAACCTGTCTCTGTAAAAGCAAGCTACTCAAGCCTACGGTGCACATTTGCACCTGATTTTTTAAGAACTCCTACTTCCTACCACGCACAGAAGAAAACCAAACCTGCAAGCTTCAGAATATTATAAACTTAAAAGATTCCTAAAGCAAATTCCAATCTATAGGGAAATTCTAGGAGCACATGTGGACAAACACAAAAAACTCCTCACTCAAGTCAATGACAATAATTCAAAATGTTTGAATCTGCCTAAAACACAAATGCTATTCATATTTAACATCCAACAAAAAAAGCCTAACAGTGCCAATTTGGAAGACGAAACTATGTTACCAACATAGCCTCCTCATATTCCCCTTTCTTTTCATGCTCACCCCACATTGTGATACACAATCTCCAATTATGAAATTGCAGATACAGTCAACAAAATCATATATTCACGGATCAAATAATTTCTAAATATCAAACAGAAAGCAAGAATGTAAAGGCATCTATGATAATTTTCCCATTAACATCTACAGAACAGCAATAAACTTCCAAGGAAAAGAAAAGTCAGATATGAACATTTCATTTCAATCAGTAAAAGACCAAATAAGCATTTGCATACTAAGTTATCCATTATGATGCATAATAACAAGTTTCGAACTGAAAAAGTAACGAAACTTTGCATCAACTAGAGATGGCCAAATCAACTAACCGCAAAGAGAAGGGTGGCAACAGCAGCCTGAACAACCTGTTGAAGAAGAACACCTTTAACAACTTCCTTTTTAGACACCAAATTCTTCTCATCCTCATCTTTCTTTGAATGTAACCTATAATTATCCATTATACCCCCAAGCATTGAATATAATCCTGAATATACCCAATACACTATTATTGGTAAAAATGTTCCCAACAATTCATCTGACACATGATATCCTCCTATCAACTGTTGATTGTTATTGTTCTCACTACCCATCATCTCTGTTTTCTTTATATCTTCTTGATACGAAACCTTAAAAGGTATAATACCCAGAAAAGAATATATAGATTCTTTCTTTATATCTTCTTGAAATTACCCTTAATTGAAATACTCAGAAAGGAACAAATTTTGTTCCTTCTTATATCTTTTTTATACTACCCTTCAAAGAAAAAAACACCCAGAAATGAAAATTACTAGTACTATCTTTTTGAAGTTACCCTTAAAAGCAACAAAAATACCCAGAAAAGGAACCAAAATTGCTCCTTGTTATATCTTTTGAGATTGCCCTTAAAAAGAAAAAAGAAACACCCAGAAATGAACAACAGTTTAATATATATATATATATTAGTTTCTTTGTTGATCAAAAAAACACCCAGAAATGAAAAACAATATCTTTTTTGAAATTACCCCTTAAAAGCAAAAAAAATATCAAGAAACTCTGAAAAAGATTCAGGCTTTTGTATAAATGGAAAGAAAATGAGATAAATTGGAACTAGGGTTTGTAGAGAAAAAGAATTTTTGGGTATAGAGGGGTTGATTGAAATGAAATTCTCTTCCAAATTTGGAAGGGAATTTCAAAAAGAAAAAGGCACAAAAAGGTTAAGCAAAAATGATCAATTTGCTTGTTGTTTCTGTGTTTTCAAACTATTAGAGAGGATATTATTGTTTTTCAGAACAGATACTACCTCCTATAATAACGATGATCATCAAATTAATTCTTTTTATTTATAGTGCTTTTTCTTTGTCGTGTTATTAAAGAAATTTTAATTTAAAAAAAGGCAGCTTAGTAGGCCCACAACTTTTCAGTGGAGAAGATTCCGCAAAATTTCTTCTTTTTTTCCCTTTAATATTCTTCGTAGAAATCGGCAGAAGAACGCTCAGAATAATATGTGATAATTTAAGGTTCTTTTTTTCATTAAATTGAGAATCAGTATTCTGACATTCAGAATAATATGTGATGTTGTTGATAACTTGATATAAATAAAAGTCACGTCTTAAATTCAAATTAACGTAACAGTAAGTAAAATAAGTATTAAAAGTTTAAATTTTCTTAATTTTCTATCTAATAAGTGTGTAGAATATATTTTGATTAATTATGATTAAACAACAACAAAAAAATAGTATCATTTATTTGTTGATTTTTATAATAAAACTGGTAAATTCTTCTTTGGGAAATAGTAGTAATACGTGGTATCGCTGATTGTTTGATATTTCTATGAAATGTTGACGTGGCAGACAGATAATAAACAATTAAACACTGAGGTATCATAATTTATTTATTTTTTTGAAGTGTTGGGTTCATCGTGGCTTATGAGAATTTAATAATTAGGAAAATTATATAGTATAACCGTTCCCAATAATAATAGATACTAATTATATAATTTCTTATATCTTTATATATATATATATATATATATATATATATATATATATATATATATATTATATATATATATATATATATATATATATATATATATATATATATATATATATATATATATATATATATATATTCTATATTTAGTTAGTATATATAATTATATTTGCCGACCGAACTAAATGTGTAATTTAACATTTGAATTTTCTAAGATGGACAATTGGACATTCCGATATACATATGTTAAATTGGGGTCGTCCGAATTTGACTTGGACTTTTGGCTCAATTTGTCATCCTTGGCCAGTTGGCAGTTTTTCCTAAAATACAATAAGCCGCCAACAAGATAGTTTACCCACCCATTGTTTATCCCATACGCCTATTTCATTTCTTTTTCACACAAAAAACAAATTTAAATTATATACATTGATTGATCTTGGCAAACAATTTGATTAGAAAGTGATTGAGTAAATTTTACTGTAATCATTCAACTTTGTGTTTATTACCCAAAAGTCACTTTTTTTTTGTTACGTAAAAATCATTCAATTTTGTGTTCATTGTCCAAAAGTTAATTTTCTTTCTTTTGTTACACAATTATTATTTTACTTTGCCCTATTTATCACAAAAGTCACATTGGCCAGATATGAAAGGTGTGTAAAATATGATCAAAGTAATTATTGTAATAACTATATAATAAAATGATTAACGAACACAAAATTAAATAACTTTTACATAACAAAAGAAAGAAAAATAACTTTTAAATAATAAACACAAAGTTGAAGACCACCTAAAATTTACTCGAAAGTGATTACTATGTTTTATCCTTACTTTGCTTCCGTTTTGTGAATATTTAAAGTTCGGCAGTCATTTACTAGCTAGTTGAAAAGGACGTTTCAAGGACCAAGTGTGGAACTTTGGCCTTCTACATGCTGATATTTACTGTGATATTTTTGTTTCAAAGACAAGGTCTCCAATTGCAGAAGCATCCTTTTCTATTTCTTTCTTGAAATACAAAGGTCTCCAATTGTGAAAGCATCCTTTTGTTTTGACCATTTCGTCAAGAGTGGATAACTATACTTTTTATGATACATACATACAGGATAATAATTCTGAAAGACATGAGAACTATAAATAGTAAGATAAATAGTTAAGTATTATATAAGAATATGGTCACAGAAAACACAATAATTGAATTATCAACAGCATGTGATGTGATTATTAAATAAAAATAATCTATATCTATACAGAGAAACTTTGCTGTTAAGCAAAAGATTAATCCAAATGGTGATTTACGTTTTAGTAGTGGCCTACCACCATCAAAGTTCAATGAAACACTTCTTTTGTTTTTTTCTCTAGTCAACTATGGTATCAAGAAAACAAAAGGAAGTTTCTTCCCAATCATTTTCTTCACTGTATTGAAAAATCAACTAAAATTTGTGTAATTGAAAAGGACAATTGAGAATTATGTAGCTTGCACTTGTGTTTCAGGAACTTTCTTCATGAAATCGAGCCGGGCTTGTTTGGTTTGTTTAGGAGCTACAAGAATAAACAGACAATTTCCATCAGCACATAAGCTAATGTAGCTACTAAATGTTCAGGGAACGATTAGTTATGGATAAGATATGCATTTACTCTACCTTTTTGGCCACTTCGATTATTTGAAGCTAGGACAGTAGATTTCCATTCCTCGTAAGCATGTTTGTCCATACATTTGCGCTTCTTGTATGCTGATGACTGCAAAATGAAAGGCCTCAAAATTCAGTAACATACAACTCAAACTGAGATGTAAGAATTTTAGTTATATAACACCAGCACAAAGTTTTGCAGAGATTATAACTTGCATTCAACCATGCTTTATTTTATGGTGAAAATGACAAGCCAGTAACAAGTCAAATTCATCATATTTTTTTCCAATTTAGGGATTCAAATAAGCATCTGTGTGGCTTGCCACAGACCCTATGTCCTCAAGAATTGTAGGATGTATCCTACCATCTATTCGTTGCATATATACATAACAGGTTTTTACATCTGAGTTGAGGGCTTCTTGTTCCTTAATTATGTTGATTAGTGGTATGGCATTATTAACTAGTAGCAAAATTCAAGAGAGTTCCTATTATTTACATTATCCTCCTCAGATGAATAGCCACCATCTTCAACAGTCCTTTTCTCAGGTAATACATCTAGCAGCTCTGCATATGCAAATCACTGTGTTAAATTATCTTCTTATGTATTGAAAAGCACTGAACCACATTTTGCTTGCAATAAAGTGAGAACTTAATCAGCATGTGTTACCTCGGTTCCCCTTTACTTTTGTAGGATCTTTTTTCTCCTTTGATATACCAAAAACATCAAAACAAAGATCATTCATCGAGGTAGAAACCTGTATCATGTCAATACACATAAAAATATTAGAACCATGGTATAGCAAACAGAGGCGGATGTAGCGTTTTGGCAACAGGTTCAACTTAACCCATAACTTTTGATGTGGAGTAAAAATTTGTATGTAAAAATTTATTAAAATTACAAAAATATTAGATATGAACCCATAACTTTAACATTATAATGGGTCCAATACCAAAAACCTTAAAGTTGAACCCATAAAATTCAAATCCTGGATCCGCATCTGATAGAAAACTGATAGCTTAAGTAAATAAATGAGAAGTAAAGGAGCATAAGGACTTACACTAGCAAATTCAGATTCTGATGTGCCACAAAGCTCAATTAACTTCATTTTGTCAACCTTGAGCTGCAAAACACAGACGAAGAAACAATGAGGCATTTTATACCAAATTATCATGCTACTACAACCAGTACAAGAGAGCAAGACTGACAATAAGTAAAGAGTAGAACAAACAAACCTTGTGCCTTTTTGCGCACAGATAGAATGCAGCAGCAGTGAACACAGGTCGAGTGAAATCAGCACTTGCCCTTCGAGAAGGTGGCAAGGATGCAAGAAACCGATCCTTGTACCTGAAAATAAACAATTCAAATCATTCATTCACTATGAGAAGCCTAATTCTCTAACTGCTTATACAAAAGCAGCTTATTCTTGTCCAATTTGGTTCACACACATTCGATCAAATATCATAGGCAGTACAATTCTGTAAAACCACGAGTGAGTACAAAGTCGACAATCAAACTTACAATGATAGACCTTTACGGACAAAAGGAATGAGCCTGACACACCCAAACTGAATTCCCAGTTCTCTAATATCAAGCTTGTTTCTGCAAAGCAGAATCAAAGAAGCTTTCACGTCAGCAAGAATCTAACACATAACAAAACACTATTTGGCTCCAAAAGGAATGTACAGATTCACAAAAGGAAAATGTAGACTGAAACAAAAGATTAACAACTCACTTCACTCCAATCCCATTCTGCATTGAAATGAACGATCTGTTATAAGCCTTCTCAGACATCCCACTAAATTTTATCGCTGCCTGACGATCAAACACCACATCCATCCTACATTTATCATCAAAACATCTTACAAAATTATACACACAAATATTACTCCTACTATACCACATTTCACAACTCATCAGCACATAAAATAATTTTTTGTTCAGACCCAATAATGTTTCACAACTTGCTACAAAAATGCAAGGTAAGGCTGCATATATTAGACCCGATGTTGGTCCATCCTATACTCAGACCCCACACATATCGAGAGCTTAGTGGATAAAGCTACCCTTTTTTTAATGTTGATGCAATACAATAAATAGACAGCTAATTTGCCTTATAAAACAAATAATTAAGCATTAAGACAAAATAAGTCCAAATAAAACAGAATTTATATATTTCCCAACTAATTGATCCATTGGTGCTTTGACATCCAGAATCAACCCCCCAAAAAAATTAATTGAAACACATACAGAGGATGCAACACATTTTTGTTATTTTTATGTAGTACTATAAATCAACAAAAAACTGATACAGATCCTAATTTAATTGAAACACATATAGAGGATTCATAGAATCAATCCCTAAATTACACGATTGACCCGAACTAATTAAGAATTGACACATCATTAATTGACTCTCATTACCTAGAAGCAGCAATCTCTAGGCAAATTATAGCCTTGCATATCTCGCCCTACAGAAAAGAATCAAATAGATTTTTGGTTAACATTGTTCCAAATTACATTCCAATCGAATAAATTTCTTCTTTCAAACGACCAATTCATAACATTAGTTACTTACGACGCCGATGACAGAGGAATCGAATTGGACATCGGCGAGACGACGGAGCTCGGCGGCTTTACGTACAATGTGCTTGGTTTCAGATAGACCGAGCTTTCGGGCAATGTCGGATAGATCC